TTTTCCAATCTGCGGGAACCACCCCAGAGTCCAGTGATTTTGGTAAATAATTACTAGTGCATTTGCTATTTCCCCCATCACCTCTTTTAGTACCCTGGGATGCATTTCATCAGGGCCAGGAGACTTGTCTACCTTTCGCCCCATTAGCTTGCCCGGCACTGCCTCCTCAGTGATAATGATAGTTTCTAGGTCCTCACCTGCTATAACCTTCTTGCCATCAGTTTTCGGCATGTTATTTGTGTCTTCCACTGTGAAGACCGACACAAAATAACTGTTTAATGCCTCAGCTATTTCCTCATTCCCAGTTATTAAATTGGCCTTCTCATCCTCTAAAGGACCAATGTTTACCTTCGCCATACTTTTACAATTAACATATTTATAGACACTTTTGCTGCCTGTTTTTATATTTTGAGCTAGTTTACTCTCATAATCTATCTTACTTTTCTTTATAACTTTTTTTGTGGCTTTCCATTGGCCTTTAAAGATTTCCCAGTCTCCTCGTTTCCCAATAATTTTTTGCTTTTTTGTATGTTTTTTTTAAATCTGATACTTTCCTTTATTTCCTTAGACATCCATGGCTGACTATTTCTTTTCCTACAGCTCTTCCTCATCACTGTAATATACTTCTGCTGAGCACTGTGAAAAATCGTTTTGAAAGTCCTCCACTGTTCCTCCATTGACCCACCATAAAGTTGTTGCTCCCATTTTACCTTAGCTAACTCCTCCCTCAGCCTATCATAGTTTCCTTTGTTTAAGCGCAGGACATTGGTACTGGATTTAACCTTCTCATGCTCCATCTGTATTTTAAATTCGACCATACTGTGATCGCTCCTTCCGAAAGGATCCCTAACTGTGAGATCATTAATTGTTCCTGTCTCATTACACAGGACTAGATCTAGGATAGCTTGCTCCCTCATAGGTTCCATTATATATTGTTCAAGGAAATTATCGCGGATGTATTCTATGAATCCCTCCTCAAGGCTGCCATGACTGACCTGGTTTGACCGATCGATATGTAGATTAAAATCCCCCATGATAATTGCTGTACCATTTTTACATGCATTAGCTATTTCTATGGTTATTGCCCGCCCCACCACGATGTCATTATTTGGTGGCCTATAGACCACACCTATCAGTGACTTCTTCTCCCTGCTATTCCTAATTTCCACCCAAATGGATTCAACATTTTGTTCAGTAGAACCTATATCATCTCTCACTACCGCCCTGATATCATCCTTAAAAATTAGAGCGACACCACCTCCCTTACCTTCCTGTCTGTCCTTCCGAACAGTTTGATACCCCTGGATATTTAACTCCCAGTCATGACCATCCTGCAACCATGTCTCTGTAATGGCCACTAATTCATTCCCATTTGCCATGATTTGTGCCGTCAACTCATCCACCTTGTTTCGAACGCTCCGAGCATTCAGATAAAGTGCCCTTATGCCAGTTTTTGCACCTTCTTTTTGAGTTCTATCATCTCCATTACTAACAGCTCTTGAGTTCTCCTTGCCTTTAGCTTTTTTTCCTAATTTTCAATGGAGTTGAAGCTTCCTCGTCACCTGCTAACCTGCTGCTTTGCCTTACGTTAATTGTTATACTCCCTGGACACTCGCTCCTCCCTTTCCCCCTACTTACTAGTTTAAAGTTTATTGACCACCCTATTTACCCTTTTCGCCAGAACACTGGACCCGGCCCTGTTCAGGTGGAGTCCATCCCAGCAGTATAGATCCCTCCTGTTCTAGAAGTGATGCCAGTGCCCCATGAAAAGGAAACCCTCTTTCCCACACCACTCTTTTAGCCACATGTTTACTTCCCTGATCCTCGCCTCCCTATGCCAATTTGCACGTGGCTCGGGCAGCAATCCAGAGATTATGCCCCTTGAAGACCTGTTTTTTAATTTTGTTCCTAGCTTTCAATAATCCCGAATCAGGTCTTTTTTCCTAGTCCTGCCTATGTTGTTGGTACCTTTGTGGACCACAACAACTGGATCCTCCCCCTCCCTCTCTGGTATCCTCTCAAGCCAGTCAGAGATGTCTTGCACCCTGGCACCAGGCAGGCAACACACCATGCAGGATTCTCTATCCTGCTCACAAAGGATACTGTCTATCCCCCTGATGACGGAATCCCCTACAACTACAATCTGTCCTTTAGCTCCCCACTCTTGAATGGCCTCCTGAACCATGGTGCCATTGTCAGTTGACTCATCCTTCCTGCAGCCCTGTTCCTCATCCACGCAGGGAGCAAGTGCCTCATACCTGTGGGGCAATGTCAAGGGCTGCAGCTCCTGGGTTCCTGTCTGCAGGGTCCCTCTACCTGCCTCACTCACAGTCACACACTGCTGTCCCTGCCCACCGCTCAAATTAACATTAGTTAATCTACTAGGTGTGACTGCCTCCTGGAACACAGCATCCAGGTATCTCTCCCTCTCCTGGATGTGCCGCAGTGTTTGGAGTTTGGATTCCAGCTCATCAATTTTGAGCTGGAGCTCCTCAAGCAGCCAACACTTGCTGCAGGTGTGGTCACTGCCGTTCTCAATGGGATCAGCCAGCTCCCACATCAAACAGCTACAACACATCACCTGACCTGCCATCTCTACTTAGTTAATTGTTTAAAATTAATTAGTTTATTTTTTGGTTTTGCAGTGTTCTCTCTACCAGTAAGTTTACTCCGTTACATACTCAAACGGACTCCGGCTTTGCCTTCCAAACTGCTCCCAGAGGATTAGGCATCTAGGTGACCTCCATGAAAGATAACAAAGAGATAAGAAAAAAATGCAAATAGCTTACCTGCTCACCACACTTAGTCTTTATTATTAGATTAGAGGAAGTGGAAGGGCGGGAGACACTACACGCCCTCCGCTGAACAACTGAATGCCGCAGTCACGCGAGGTAAGACTTTTAGAATGAAAGCTTACTTTCCCGGCTGCCCTCGCGCTCTTTCCCAGACTCCCGCCGCTGAACAACTGAACTAACACTACACACAGGAGTGATGTGCAGAAAAGACCATGGGTAATAATAGTAAGGAAATCTCCACAGTATAAGTTCAGTGATAATGACCATCAGATCGGCAGCCGCCATAACCACCAGGTAACGAGTAGTGCAATGGGAAACACTGCACTTTCCCTGGGAAAGGATAACAATTGCCAACAAATCAACTGTGCAAGCCAAATGAAAAAAGACATGGTGAATTATTGACAGAAACTTCCCCTGCCTGTTCCCAAAAGCAACAATAAGATTTTACCACCAAAAATCAATGCATGGTGTGAGTGGAAGTGTTTGGGATTGAGTGAGTTTGAATTCAGGCATTTACACCCACCTCAGATTGTCCTCCAGCCCAGTCACTCCAGAGATTATGGAGTTTGGACAGAGACTGAGCTCATGGTCCCCCCTACGAGAGCAGAAGGAAGTCTGTAATTTTACTTGGTTGCAAGGTCAATGAGTGTAATAGATTCTTACAGTTCTCAGCTCCAAATCTGCCCAGAGCAGAACACCATTAGAAATCACAACTCAGTCATAGGACTGACGATTGGACTATCAATAAACCAAACTCTCCCCTTCTCCTTGGATCACGTCATCCCCTGCTCTTAGCATTGGACCAAATCCTGATCAGAGCCACAACAGGACCAGGAAACAAATCATCAGAACCTGTGTCAGATTTCAAACAAGACTAATCTATGTGTCTTACAAAAGTGCAGCATAACATAGCATGCAGGGCTCCCTTAGTGACCATGTGTGAATGTTAGGACTGCTGTGATATTTACACTGTAAATCTATACATCTGTATGTGGCAAATGTCTTGATGTGCAGGGATCAGGATGGTGATCTGTTAAGATTTGAATCTACTGACCAAAGATTGTGAGGAGGAGAGAATTTCCAGAAGGAATGGAAGTTAGATAAAGCTTTACAAATCAAAACAGGCCTAATATCCTTCAATTCCTTTGCTAAACAAAAAAAAACAAAACTCTCTCATTTAACAGACCAACAGATACAGTATCCACTGTTGTGTGTGGGAGAAAGTTGTAGAAGTGCAAGCTAACATCTCTCCTGAATGCTTTGGCCCTCTTTCTCAGATTATGCTCCCTTGTTCTAGAATCCCCAACCAATGGAAATAGTTTATCTTTTTCTGTTAATATCTTATCGCACTTCACTCAAATCGTCCCTTAACTTCCAAAATTCTTGGGAAAACCGTTCTTATTTGAAAACAAAAACAGAAATTGCTCAGTGGGACTGGCAGCATCTTTGGGAGAGAAAGCAGAGTTAACATTTCGGGTCCAGTGACCCTTCTTCAGAACTAACTTGCCTGATCTCTCCTCATAACTTCAAACCAGATGAAACTAGAACAGATGACAGAACACTGAGATCAGAAAATGCTGCAGCAGCAGTTTAGTTGGGAGTATCTGTCAATGGAGAATTGTACCGAGAATGCTGCTCGGTGAATTGCTGTCACTGTTCTGGTGTCTGGATAAGGCTGACCAGGCAGTGAGCTGGAGACGTTATTATTCAAAAGCTAAAACCAGACAGCAGAAGATTAAAACAAGTCCAACAATGCCATACCAGGAATGCCAATGAAAGCAAAGATGGTGTCGAACACCTTCTCCACATGTTGAATTGATCGATGCACTTTTCTGTGTGAGTTGATCTGTCCCTTCAGGCAGCTGACTGACTCCTTATTTGAAACTCTGAAGCAGCTGCTAACGGTCACTTGGGGCACGAGGCGGCCGTTAACCACCATCTCGCGCGCAGGGGGCGGGGCCTGAAGCTAAAATGGCGGCGGTCCCACCCAGAAAGGAAAAGCGTCAGGGAGAGAGCGGACTGTGTCGGTAAAGTCCTGTTCCTGAAGGTTATGGGGGTGGGGGAAGAGGAGAGATTCCGCTTGGGTCTGCCCCCCCCCCCC